TGACTTTCTGGCCAGTCTTTAATGTCCCCTGTGGTTTTCTGCAGTCAAACTCCTGTCACTGCGGATTTGAATGTCTTCTCATAGATGGAATCAAGCGCCTGTATGCTGTTGGTGTCTGGTTCCCTCACACCTTGTCTGTAGAGCCATCCATGTAGTGCCTAGTAATATCCTGGTGTGTCTGTTACCATGTAGCATTTCATTGGGTGACCGTATCTCAATGTGTTTGCCTATTCTATGGAAGAGGGGTGTTTAGTCATCACAAACGAAGCTGGTATAACCACACCTGTGTGTGTGTGTTTTGGTAGGTTGTAGGCTCATTTATCTCAGGATATACCTACTGTGAATCAGCCAGTACTGCCAAGTGCTTCTCAAAGCAGGTGCACCACTAGCAGCCTTGCAGGTACCATTCAGTCAAGCTGTCAGCACTTGCCATGCTCAGTCTTTAATTTTAGCCACCCTCCTGGGTGCATGTGGGATTTCCTGGTTTTGTCTGTTGAGTGAACATGTCTTACTGGTGAGTTGAATGGCCCTCTTTGTGAAGCATCTGTCTGTCCCCTGCCCATTGCTGGTTGCTGTTCTGCAGGAGCTGTCCCATTGCCCGTGCCCTCGCCCGATCAGTGACTGGTCTTGCCCTTTGTCTAGCTTGCCAGTCTTTGCCTTCATAGGTCCTGTGTTTTATGTTTATTATAACACTTCACCCAGGGAAGCAAGGAACACTCTCTCTGGAATTCTGCGGATGTTCCTGCGTGCACCGTGCACTTAGGCAGCTGCTCCACTTCTGGTTAATGTTTTATGTGATGTGGAGTGGATCTCAAGTTTCACTTCTCTTCCAGCATCATTTATTGAGATGTTCTAGCCTTTTACTCATAGTGATTTTAGGTACAGTTCTAAAACACTTTTTTGAGACAGAATGGAAGAGATGGGACTCATCCTTGATTATATTATGTCTAATTAGCTAATCACCTCGTCCTGTCTAATCAGCTGCAGGCCGGGGCTGAACTCACACACAGATTACTATATATATTCACACTCTCCATCCTCAAAACACTAACGAGCCCATGGAACTTCTCTCTCCTCTTTCCTCTTCCGCCTTCATAAACATCCCAGGGTGGGATTTGCAGTGGGGAGGTGCATGGGCTCCCACTTCCCCATCACCCCCATGCTGTGTTGAGGCTAGAAGAGCAAGGGGCCAGGCTCCACGGGGTGTGGGGATCAGGTCCTGGCTTGCTGGCTTTTCCCAGGGACGTGTGGGCATGAGAGGGGACCAATGGGCCCTCGGTGTGGCTGAGGCCACAGTGTGTCTGCTCCAGGGATTGTCAGCTAGGAAGGGAGGCTTGTTCCTGCTGACATCTGTTGAGCTGGATCCCCACAAACTGTCCAGGGAGGGTCAAATACAGGCAGAGCGCTCCAGGGGTCATGTGATAGGATACAGCCGTCTGACTTGTTTCACAATGTCAGGCTGTTTGTTTTAATAAACCTGATATTTCAGAGAAGCTTTGGGTTTGCAGAAAACTAGAGCAGAAAGCACAGAAGTTCTCCTGACCCCCTTCTCCACTGTGTCCCCTGTCACTTTTGAGGCTTGTGGTTGTTTGAGGAGTCAAGACCCACACCTTATTTCTAACTGGCTTGTATGAGGTCCCCTTGTGTGTTGAGCACTCTAGGCTCCCCCTCACCCCACCCAATTCACAATGGCATAAGTCATCATTGACATGTCACATGGAATCACTCTATGTCCCTAAATCACCATGTTAGTCAAAGTCATTGTCACATGTGCCGACCCTGAGGATTGCAGCATTTGCAGAACTTAACCTGTCCTGAGTGGGAAACTGACACATGAGGCTGCCATGTGCCCTGTGTGGTCCTGCTGGGATGCATTCCATTGGGGCTTCTTGAGGTGGAGACCCAGCCAGCCATCTCTGTTCACTGTCCTGGACCTGTCCACTGGCTGGTGGACAGGGTCTGCCTGGGGGTGAGTAGGAAGAGCTCAGGAGCCATCTTCCCATGGACCACCCAAAAAGTTCCAGCGATGGAGATGGCCTCCTGGGAAGCTGCATTTGGTCCTGTGTGTGGTGAAGCCAAGTCGAGCAGCATGGCCTGGGACTAAGGAGCATACAGTAGGTATGCTATGTCCCAGAAAGAGGTGGCCTCCCTGCCCACACACCACTGTCTGCCTGGGCCCTCCACAGAAGCCATCAGCATACAGCGGCTGGGTGGAGGGATAGCCACTGGCCCTCTAGCTGTCCAGCAGCTGGTATCCAAGAAAGCCAGCCTTGCCTGCCTGGCTCCATTACTGCCGCCTAATGGTGTGATTATCCACCTGTCTTATCACCTTCACCCAGGAGATGGTCACATACGGCAGCAAGAGGGGCCATGGCCAGCGTCAGAAGACAGGCCGGGAAGAAGAGAAGATTGGAAAACTCCTAATAAAATTACATTTCCTGAAATAGCCATAACGGTGATGGTGATGTATTTGCAGCCTTATTGGGTCTGACACGGGTACTGCATATTGGATATTAAGAGTCTCCTACATTAATGCCCCCACTTCAGTGCCTGCTCTATCATGCTTCACCTGAATGTTGATCCTCCTCAGAAGTTCACACTGCATTGTACCCACTGCCCGTTTAGTTCATTTTCTCGTCTCTTCTGACTCCTGACAAGAGCAATCTGCTTCTGGCCACCAGGGCTGCAGAGTTTGTATTGTGCGCTCAGGTGTTCAGGGGAAGAACCACCAGCATTGAAGCTTGCAAGCCTCGTTCTTGGGATGGGCACCTGCTATGAGGACTCACTGCTTTCCAGCCCTCAATTAATCAAGATGAAAGAGAGGCACTGAGCCAGTGCAGTGTGCACTCCTGTGTTCTGGGTGGCCCCCTCCTCGCCAAATCTGTAAGCAGAAACCCTCACCCCAGAGATAATAGTGTTAGGAGGTACAGCCGGTGAGGGCTGATTAGGTTATGGGATCAGTGCCCGGATAAAAGGCACTCCACAGAATCAGTCCACTCTTCCACCATGTGAGGACATGTCTATGAACCAGGAAGCCAGTCCCCACCAGACTGAGAGTCTGCTGGTGCCTTGACCTCTCAGCCTCCAGGACTGGGAAGTAAACCCATATGAGCTATTCTGTGGTACTTTGTGTGGCAACTGGATGGACTGAGATGGGCACTGATTCTTCTCTACATCCCACAGGAGAATGCAACTATGGGTCAATTCAGCACATGGCTTCATCTGCAGGACACATGAAGATCCGCTCAGGGCACAGGTGTCCCCCGTAAATGTGTCCCTGGTCCCCAGAAGCTCCTCTTTTCAAGCCCAGGCAGCCCTGTCCTCCAGCAAATGGGAACTCTTGTCTTCCTCTCCGTAAACCTTCCCATGGTGCTGCATCCCATGCCATTGACACAACCGGGTGTCACCAGCCACATGCCTTAGGTCACTATAGTGGAGGTCATTCTCACCAATCTGCCTCATGGAACCAGGGTGCATCTGCCTTGGGATTCCAAAGTTGGATGTTGGGATTCCTTGAAGTAAACACAAGAAACATCCTTTTCCTTCCCTCCCAGGAGTGCTGGTACACCCTCCTTGCTCCCTGAACAGAGGATCTTAAATGACCCCCTGAGTCAGACCGATTGGGGCAGAGGTGTCGCTGTGGAAGTTACTAGAGTAGACAAGGGATCCAGCTCCTCATTCACTGTCTTCGGGCCCCATATGTCCTGCTTTACAGGCTCAGAGACCTTGCTGGTAATTATATGACTAGGCTATTCAAAGCTGAGATGTTGAACCCAGGTGTCATGGTCCCCCTGCCTGTGCTAGCTTCTGTATTCAGTTAGTCAAAAGTGGAAAATAAGCTGTGACATTGAGCCCCTGCTCTGTGTCCCAGACCAAGCCACTGGCAGCCCTCAGCTTACAGACATCTTGTTCAGTCTGGCCAGTCCGGCTTGTAGGAATCATCCCTTAGAAAGATGGAGGATGACAGTGTGAGGCAGGAGGTGAGGACGCCAGCCCAGGTTACACATTCAGAACCTCTCCTCTTGGAGAGGCAATTTGGTGTCGCCTGAGTGACTGCTCAGGGCTGACTTGGACTGCCCGTAATCCTGTAATTGGCCACCAATCACTGTGTGCACTTTATAGGTTGGCCGTCTTTAATAGTGAGTGGTTTTTATGGAAAATAAGTGTAGTATTTGTTACAATTCCTTTATCCGGGGCATTTTTCCTCTAAAGAGGTCACCATGAGTTGGTTTAGAGATAATTTGGAGGACACTGAGTACAGACTGCACACAAGGTACTGCAAGCCAGGTGCGGGGGCACTTGATCAATTGCACCCATGTCACCCTCTTGTGGCTGAGCTCATGACTGGTGCCCTGCAGCTCAGACTCACAGGAGGCACTAGCCAGGGTCAATCCCATACCCCAGGTGGCCCCACAGTGAGCCTGCAGAGCCCTGAGTGGAGGGAGTCGGTCGGCAGGGACAGGGAGGGCAGTGGCACAGCTTGGGCAGAGTGGAGGTCAAGGTCGAGGCTCTTGGCAGCACAGAGGATTTAGGAGCGGCTGGCTACCAACCCGGAGATTCTGCTTTCTCATCAGGATGCAGAAAAATGCTGGCTTGAGGCATTTTGTCACAGCCCTGACGGCCAGAAAGCACCTCCTAAGTTGTATGAGGGCGATTTTACATGAGGGAGACCATTTATGAACCACAGTTTTTCCACAGCGGGCTTTATGGGCCCCTGGTGACTTGCCTCTGTATAATAAATAACGCCGGGAAACACCATTTCCAAAGGCCCGGACAGGTGGTGCTAACTTATCTGTTTGAATGAAAATCCTAAACCTTGTTAAGTCAAACTGTCATTGCTCATTACCCATAAATTAGGAGGCCAGGGGGAGCATCACACACAGGTATTTATTATAACACGCCGAAGGATCCTTTGTATTCCAGGGACATGGGAAGCCCGGGCACAAGCACGCCACTGAACACACTTACTAAATCGCACTTTTGACGTTCACGTTCTGCAGAAGGCAGGAAAGCTGTGCTTGTGTGTCAGCTGCCCCTGGCTGAGCTCTCACCCTACCAGGATGCCCAGCAACAGGGGTAAGGGGAGCAAACAGCCCCATTACCTGAGCCACAGTGCCCCGTTGATTGCCCACTGGGCACTGAATGGTGGGACTTCCCTCTTCCCCAGGGGTGTTTCAGACTTCCATGTATCCATGGAGAAGCTTGGACATCCTCAGCCAGATGGTCTTGGCTCTCTGGGACTTGCAGCCCAGGGTGGCATCCACTCTCGTTAGAGGAGTCACAGGAACCCTACCTCCCTTTGTCCAAGCTTGGCCCAATGTGCCATCCACAGCTGGGAGGACCTCAGATGCCTCTGTGCTGGGAAGAGGCTGGCGGCACAACCGATTCCAGGGAGGAACTTGCTTGGTCCACAGAGCTGTAGTTTGTCCGGTGGCTGGCAGACAGACCTGCAGGGAAGCCTTTGGTCTTTTGATGCCTACGGAAATGCCAGGGCACCTGAAGCCCTGGACACAGGGACAGGACAGCGGTCCCGTCCTAAATATGATAGTATATTTCCTTGGGCTCACTAATGTAGAGACGCTTTCATCCTCAAATTTCCTTCTCTGGACCTAGAATTTGAAAACTCCTTATTTGCTTGTTTTTGACTCCAGGTTCTAAGTCCTTGACTGCTGTGCTCTGGGGAAGTTGGTCTTGGGGAATGGTGGTACCTCACACATTTTCACTCCCTGCCTCCACCTGCAATAGGATGGTTGACTATCTTTACCCCTGGCTTCCAGAACTAAATATTTACAGTAGGGAATTTGAAAAGTAAGGAAAAAGAGAGAATGCAGAAAAAGATGGAAATAAGTTTTATCACCCAAAAGACTTTCTGTTTACTTTTTGAATATCATTAATTTTTCCTGAGTTTATCAAAAGAAAATAAAGATGAGCATAAGATTGAGGAAATGGCTCCCTGTCAGATAAGAACTTCCTCAAAGCATGGTTTGTGGATGTGATACTGTGGCTGGGGAGAAATTGCAGCTGATTTTCTTCTGCCCTCTCACAGCCCACTGGACAGCTGCTCATTCTTACACAGTGTGATATCCCACATCTTCACCCCTGACCTTTCAGACACCTGTGCTCCAGACTTTTGAACGCTCAGTTCAGACGCGTCATCAGGTTACATAGCAGTGCGCTTACCCTGCAGTGGGCACTTAGAATGGGCAGTTCTGGGGTGGCTCAGGGAACATCCACCTGTCACTCCTTCCCTCCACTTCACTTCCTTCCCTCCATCGCTGCTCTTCTCCTTGGAATTCCTGCAGAGTCCTTGTTCTCAGCAAGGAGCAAGCGCTCGGCACAAGGCACATGTGGGCGGCTCAACTGCTGTACAGTGAGGGTGCTCATGGCACTTGTTGCTCAGTTCCAGGGTGCTGAGTCCAGAGGTTCCCTCTTGGAGAGTGCTGTCAGGGTCATCACTCTGGTCCTCATTTAGGTCTTCAGCCTCCTGTCTGCTGCCACTCTTGCCTTCTTCTCCAGAGGTGGACTCCTCAGGGCTCTTCCTTTGTGCCTCGTGGCTGACCCTCTGGTGGGGCATCATTGCTCTTGCTGATGTGATGGGCACCCTGTGCATCTCTGAAAGACTCTTCTCTGGGTCAGTCTGGGTTTGTCCTTCTCTGTGCCTTATTTGCCTGCTGTAGATATTCCTCTTGTGTGACCTCTGCTGTTTCAGTCTCCTTGTAGATGAAGGATAACAAGGTGAAGATGCCAACACAGGTGGCTCAATTCTCTGCCACTGTGCAGGCTTCTCCCTAAATTGGAAGTGACTGCCAGGCTCCACTAGCTGGGTTTGCCTAGCACTGTTAGTGCCAGAATTGGGCATTGCTCCACAGACTCCGACTAGGACCCCAGCTGTCTTTGTCTTCAAAGACACCTCTCCTACCTTGGGATTGTCAGCAATAGGTTTGGACTTGGGTTGGGGAGAAGCTGCCCTGTCTCAAGTAGAAGGGATACCTCTGTGTCTGGTACCAAGAGCCTTTGAGCATGGAGGTATCCACTGAGCTAAGGAAGGTGACATTGTCCTGATGGCAGTGGCCTCCAGTTGACCTTTGGGCTCCTTTGGGGGCACATGAGGATGGTTTGCAGGAAGGTGGACTCATCTGAAGCCTGGAGCTAGCTGCCTCCAAAGAAGCAGGAGCAAATGGTCTGTCTAGCGTGGCAGATGATATGTACTTCTTGGGATGACACTGGGTAGCTCAGGAGTCCACCAGGCTCCTGGCTGCTCTTCACATCCAGTCTCCACTCTGCTCTGGGTACCATGACCCCAAACAAGGAAATCCTGCAGGCCATATTCTCTGTCCCAGCCTTTACTTACCTGTGTGGACAGGAGGCTAGCTGGTGGTGCTGGTCATCACTCTGGCCCTGATGGAGCAAACCTGGGCTCACGCCTTCATGCCCTTCTTCCCAGCCCTGACCTCAAGGAGATCAGTGGATTTCCTAAGCTCATACTCTTTGTCTGAAAATGAGAATGCTCCCAGGGCTGAACCAGCATGAAGTGATTAGACGGGGAGATACGTCCTCAACAAGCTGTGGTCACCACCCAGGAGGGTTCCCCAGGCAAGACTCTGCGCCTGTAGGAGGCTTTGCTTTCTCTGTGGAAGAGTATCCCCACCTGGTCATTCTCTCAAAGCCATTCCTGGCTCTCAGAGCTGACATCAGGGATGATAAGTCTGAATTAAGGCAAGCTTGTCTTAGACTTTGTCTCCTGTGTACTGGACAGAAAGCTGTCTCCGGCACAGTCAGCAGGTAGGTGCAGCTGCCTTCTCCTTCCAGCAGGAATGCTGAGACGGAACAGTTTCATTTCCTGCTGTCAGGACAGGACTGGCTCATCATCGCCTACTCCCATAAGCTGGAGGGTGGGACGCTCCCTCTCACTTTCTGGTGGCAGGCGGCATCATAGTATGATCCCAGGGTGCTGGATCTTGCTGTGTGACTCTGGATGTGAGGACTGGGGGCTGTGTGGGAGGCAGCTGAGGGGCGCTGGGACTATGAGGTTACAATAGAAGAGGTGTGGATGGTGTAGCAGCTGCTGGATCCTTCTGAGCTTAAGCCATGAAGGGAGCAGCCTAACCCTGCCTCCTCAAGCTGACCTCCCAGTGCTAACGCCTCACGTCTGTGGGTCAGAGGCTATGTGAGGAGGGGCCAAGGCACCCAGGACTATACTGAGCCTGTGGTCCAGGGAAGATGTGAACAGACCTCCATGCAGGACCCGAGGTCTGAATGAGCCTTGGTGTGCCAGTGGGTGGGTGGGACAGGCAAGCTGGGTGGGGCTGAGTACCCGGTCTCTGGAAAGAAGGGTCCCCACCCAAGGATGGAAATGCTGTATTCCTTAGGGTGAGGCTGGAAATACCCTGCCAGGGAAATGGCACACACAGCTGATCTAAGAAGAAAAAAAGCTACGAAGTTGGGTGTACCCTTGGAAATCCCAGTGACTTTGGGGGTAACCCTAGAAGTATAAGCACAGGACTCCTACCATATCGTGAAGAAAGTGAGGCATCCTGTTCCCCAGCTCTCCCCCACACCATGTGGACCAGTCACCGTCCCCCGTGTTCTGTGGTGTTTTCACGATGTAGCCTGTAGTGGGCTTGGTCCTGAGCCTGCCTCCAACTCTTCCTTCCTCTGCAACAGCGTTGGGCAGGCCACCTGAGACTCAGTTTCCTCACTTGTAAAGGGGAAGACATTATCACTAGAAGTCACAGAGTGTTCCTGAAGCTGCCCATGGAGTCCATGGGGCCAGCACCAGCCCCTTCTCAACATGGCCATTGTAGCCTTTGTGGGTGGGGACAGTTGGCCATAGTCCAGCTGTCCCATACACATGGGGGAAGAGGACATCATGTCTGACACTAAACTACACCTCCTTCACCCAGGCCATAATTGACATCTGTCCTCTGGTGGCTGAAGTCTGTTCTCTGGTAGTGGGTTTATAAATGACCTGTGAGTCACAGCTTTCTAGAGAGCACTTGCCCTGCTGCCCAGGTCACTGCCAGATTTGCTGGATTCTCAGAACCACCTGAGAGGAAACACCTCCCAGCAGGGGCTCAGCTGGCCTCCCACAGTACCCACACATTCCACATCTGCCGTGATCCTACCACCTGCCCCTGGCACATTGCGTCTCCATGAAGGTCACAGGCAGCCCCAAAGAGGAGAGAAGGGCCAGGAGGCCAAGGTGATATAGAGGGTGGCCAGAGGGACCAGCCAGTAGAAGAAAGCAGACGCCCTTGACACAGAGCCCAGGGCAGAAGAGGGGTCCACAGGAAGGAAGATTCTCCAGTGCCAGAACCCACCCCTAGCAGATAGCATTTCAGAACCACTACCTGCTCTGACCAGGGCACCGAGAGCTGGTCTGCTTGGCACCACATTGTACCAGGCCTCTGTGGCAGATAGGAAGCCTTTGTTTGGTGAGGCCAGTCCAGCAGACAATAGGACAGATCCCCTAGGTGCGTCCTGCTGCAGTAGCCAGGAGTACGGTGCTGCAGGGACCCTGGGAGGTCAACACTTTGGGATCCTATGGACCACATAGCTGCATTCAGGCCCTGCGCTGGGCTCTGTATCAGCCCTTGTTGAAGGGTGCCCAGTGGCAAGTGCTCCAGTGCATGTAGCCAGGGCTCTGGGCCTAAAGTAGTGTCCAGCCACAGTTTCCAGAAGGACTGACCCTCCCCAGGCTCCATGGTGGCTTTGGACATGCTACTGAAATTCTGAGTGGCTGTCTGATTCTCTGGGGCCCTGCCCTTCAGATCTAGTGCGTTGCTCAGATCATTAACAGATTCTTGCAGACACTGTGGCAAGGACCCAATCATGTTGGGGATGAGGCCCTGGCCCAGGCTATCCCTGAGCACAGAATGACAGCGAGATGTCACTGCTGCCCAGGGCAGCCATCACCCAGGAGACCACACCCAAATGCCTGGGGTGACGTTTCACCGAGTTTGGAGTTGCTCAGAAGAGAAGGGGACCGAGGTAAGGAGGAAATGTATTGGGGTCAACAGAGACTCCCTGTCACTTGAATCGTTCAAAAGCCAAAGGTGCAAAGTTTCCAGTGGGGGTGCTTTCTGAGTCTAAGACTAAGGAATTCTAATACAGGTGTAGAGTTGGTTAACTTAGCATGAAGTAGTCTATCCTTTTGCAAACAGGCTAGATCCTTCCTTGTTATCCAAATACAGATTTTCTTGTGCTTGATCAAACAGCAACACCCTGACCTCGGAGCCAAGTGTCCAGGGAGAGCCTCGTGGGCTCTCGGCAC